AGGCTTTCCCGGAATTAGGGGTACCTTTTTGGGGGCCTCTGCAATAAGGATTATAGCATTTTGGGGTCTAGATTGCCCTATTTAGGAAACTGAAAAATGATTTCATCCCTATCATAAGGACCCCACAGACTGGGCAAATTACAACGAGTTGAATTAGGGGCATGACTCTCAAGGATTCGGGATATGCTTGATGTCCTAGATCTAGCTTACTTGTGAATGGATTTTATGAAGGAGCTTATATAAAGTCTGAAGGCGATCTTAAATTGATTTTAGTGCAGTTATAAATCGTGTTAAAACTTGATCTTAATTAGATTTCAATCGGTTTAATCAGGTTCTAATTAGATTTCAGTTTAGATTCCAATAGGTTTTAAATGGGTTTGATTACGATTAAACATTGACTTTAAATTGGTTGACTAAGGTTTTAATTAGATTTCCATTGCTGTTAACACATGGTTTTGACTGCCTTTACTACGATCTTGATTAGATTCAGTCTTCTGTTTCGATTTAATCGACTCTTCTAATGTTCGGGTCGGCGATCAATGCCTCCCCAATTATTGAATATGGGTCGCAGTACGTACATTCGTGGGGGTGGGGAAGGGCGGCATCCTCTCATATCAAGAGGAAAGGATTTGTATAAAATTGGTCAGACCAAGGGCAAGCCAGAATTTTGAGAACCACCTTCCAGGAAACAGATTGAACCCCAACAAAGCGGGTTGACATAGTGGTTGAATAGGGATTATATATCAAGTACACCCCAATACTGAAAATCAAATCGAACAGAAATAGGCAATTCATTGGAAACTGGGAGTATATAGGGGTATGCGCGGATTGGAGTTTTCATAGACCAGGGGTCCCCTTTCAGGTCCCCACAAAAGGGAGATAGCATTTGGGCGTCTATACTGATGGCAACTTCCATAGTCCGAAGGCGGTATATCGTCAAGTTCAACAATGGCTGCAATTTCAAGGCCTGTCTCTTAGGGCCAAGTTGCGGATTGATGAGGAGGTTGCTGTGTGGGGGGGGCGATGAGGGGCTGAGATTTGCTGGCTTTTCAGGGGCCAATGACCTTGTCAAGGCTTTGTGTTGGTTTGCTGTGTCTTCTTTCTGTTTCTTGAGTGCTGATTTTTCAAGCTGCTTGGGCAGCATTACGGCTCACCTTGCAATCCGAGGTTTGGCTCGTTTGATGTAGGCGATGCTGTCCACCTTGCTTGTAAGAGCTGTTTGTCTTGCTTTGCTGCGTGGCATGCCGTTACAGCTATCCCGCACAGTAAGCCAGTAAGTACAACGATGCTTCTGGAGGTCGAGTACGCCTGGGAGGGTCGTGAGAGGTTTTCGGAAGAGGTGACAATCAGTGTCCTATGAGCCACGACTAACTCTGCAGTCTTGCCATGATACCCGGCATGAGTACGATTCACAGATGTTGCGGACGCGTACTTTCCTTACAGTGTACGTGAAGTCGTATGCAAGTAGGCCTGGGAGTTTGTTTACTGGTGGTGAGTAAGTGGAGGCAGGAAGGAAGGGAATATGAAGCTTGGTTATGAGGGATTGTACTCCATAGCGGCTGGGGACTGCTATCGGGCTCCCTTCTTCCATGCCATGGAACCACCAACAAGGTCAACAGAGTGGGAGTTTTGTGAAACTCCTGAACTCTAACTCGACTGCTCCTGCAGCTGCTGCTCCACCGCCGCAACCGCCACGACCACCTGTGAACACCCTTGCCTGGACATGAGCTGCTTTCTTGGATGTTCATGGATAGATTACGTGGTAACAAAAAACCGGTTATAGATATTCACTCATGCAACAATTATACCCAAAGATGAGCCGTGAAGCCAAGTTCAGAATGCCCTACAGTCCACTGTCCCCACGTTGAGGACCCTAAATCCTAAACCCTGAACGCCTTAACCCTAACCCCCAATCATTGCTGCTGAGCAAGCAGGCATCCAGTGCCGAACAGCGTTTCGGGGAAGCGCTACGCCCTCAGCGTTGCCCCTTTCGTGTCAAATGACGATTTCTACGGGTTTGTTTCACACTTCGTCATCGTCCTTATGTATCTCCGAGGGTCTGACAAAAAGCTCTAATCAACCACCCAGTACTAAGTGACACCTACGCCCTTAACAGAAAGGCCCCAAGGCTTTCTTCTCATGATAAAGCAGCGACGGAATGGGTGCCAGAGTAGCAGTTCTTGGCTGACCCTTTCAATTGGTTCCTACTTCCAATTTCTAGTTCAAAGTCATTTTTTCGGGGAGTTCTCAAACTAGGGGTCTCTTGGGGATGCCAGGGATGTCGGGGGAATCATGGGAGTTTGTATCAAGGACGGTACAGGAGAATTTGAGAAGCTTCCAGATTTATGTCTTGGATACGACACGGTCCAAACCTTTGTGTAGTAGTCGCTGAAGAAGCCACGCATACTTCAAGTTTCATGGTTTGCTAGAGGTGACGCTGTAAGTACCCTGAATCAGGTTTTATCTGCAGGTGTTCTCGAGGCCCGGACTCTAGCCCCCGGTATAGCAAAGTACGCAAGAACTCGCAAGTAGAATTGGCTGTAATTTTGGGTCCCCATTATAATACGGCAGCTAATATTTAGGGTACCAAAAAAAAGAGCATAATTTTGACAACCACCCAATTATGCCCACATTGACTGCCCGCTCCTCGCCGGTGCTGGGCCATTGGTGCGTAATGGAGAAGGAAGTGGAGAGTCCTTCACCATGTAGTTATCCGCATCTTCGTTGCCTCGAAACACGGGTGTGTTTCAAAATCTTCCCTAAATACTACTATTGCTATTGCTATTGCTATTACTATTACTATTATTATTACTATTACTTACACCCTAACAAGGACCATAATCGGTATGTCATCCCCATGTATCCCTGGGATCCCGGGGTACCTTTGAGTAAGTCCCAAATTCAAAAACAGCAATCACTACAAGCTACTATATTGGAATTTAGGGTTTAGGGTTTGAGGTTCTGGATGGCAGGTCAGAGAGTTACATGTCTTTTAATTGGCCATCCGCCTCACACAATATTGTGTTCCTAGACCTTGTAGAATGAAGGTATAGGGTACCTCAATTGAACCTCAAATTATGAGGCTACTTATTCAAGCTTCTAAATTAGAATTACCCATACCCAGGCTGCCAATGTTATTGCGACTGTTGCTTCGACAGTCAGTAAGGAGGCAACGCAACAGACAATGCCAACTGTTTTTTGGGTGTCTGGATTTTTTACGATACCATTGTTAATGGATAGGGGGATAGTCTGAGACATCCACCCGTGTCCTCACGTGCTTCTGGACCTTAACAGGAAGGCAGCCTTAAGTGACTGGTTTCTCCGGTTTCTCATGGTACCTAGGAGTTGAAAGAGACAGTTGAATTTCACCTTGCAGCTTCAAATTCCATCTGTCCGAGTACCAGCAATAGTTTATCCCAAAGGGTCCTAAGTACCCATATGGGGAATACTTACCCAAACCAGAAGGGAAATTACTACTACCGAAACCATACTTTGTACCATATAGGTACTTTGGACCCTTTGGGTTAGGAAGCTTCCCAGGTGCTCGTTTAGAGTCATGCGCGATTCTGGCATCGACGTTGCTTCGGTGCCGCCCTCGCACCAGGATATTGAATAATCCCAGGTCTGGTATATTATAATATGGTGGGGATAGGGTGATTTAATGTTGGGGGGAGGGATTAGGTAGCCAAACCTTGCCCAGTCAATCTGGTAAAGACGACATACTGGCAACGGCTTTTCATATACTTAGTTTGCCCACACACACACACAAATGCGCCAGGCATCGTCCATTGGTAATATGGCAATTTCCCAAAGTAAGGGGACCCCAATATGGTCCAAAAAAACATAATCATTATTCTGGGAGTAACATAATCCTTATTCTGGTGGTACCCCTGAATTGGGGAAACGCCTATATAATGTTTCTGGCGTTGTTGAGGGCTCTGTCGGGAAAGTAGGGTTGGGGCTCCCGTTAAATCTCAATGTCGCTGAGGCAGCACGCAGAAGCGGCGACTGTCATTGAAGTAGCGTCTGAAGCAATTGACTAATCATGTCTGCCCAAGGCCTTGTGGCTCAACAGTGCAACATGCAACCCAACCCAAATGAACAACGTGCTGCAAGCTTCTGTCGCACCAAAGCATCAAAGAACAAAGCATCAAAGAAGTCCGTAAACAACGCAAACTAGCAGCACTTATCATGAAGCAGCGCTCGACACTCAAAAGCTCTCAAGTTTTGACAACATCATCTTTTCCGCTTCCCGGCGCTGTGCTCAAGTTGTGCCATGGTCTGGCACCCAGCAACAATTTGGTGCTCGCAGCATATGCCTTCAGAATCTTATTCTCCTGATCTACTTCTGCAGCTGCTTGTAGACCTGTTACAAAATGGGAGATTAAGAGGTTTAGGGGTTTAGAACACAAGCCTGACACTCACTGGAGGGTTGTATTGCAGCGTTGCCGCGTGTACATGGGCCTCCTGAAGGATACTGTTGAGCATATAGTAGGGTACATCTCCCGCCGTAATGAATAGAAACCCGCCTCGGCAGTCGTAGGCTGAACATGATTTGCCTTTAAGAGCTCAGGTTAGAGGGAAAATGTTGTAGACAAGTTGTGCAAGTGTGTTGAGGTTTTGATTTGAGGCTCCATTGGAGTTTCTGAAAATTTTGCGTAGGGCAACACCCATTTCCTCCTACTCAACCACACGTCCCAAGTAAATCTTTCATCTCTACACTCCGAGCTCACTTCGATAAAAGCTCCAGACCATATAAGCAGTGGAAGGCCAAGCAGGGCATAAGGCTTGCTCTTCCTGTTGCCATCAGTACTATGTCCAACACTATTACTACCTTCATGACAACGATGACGAAGCATGATAACCTCACCCCATGTGGGGTTTCCATAAACAAGATCCCCAAAATAGACCTCACTATACTGTACCCTCATTTTACGTACTCCTGTTGCAGGGACCTGCACATTTTGATCATGTGAGATCAACCCTTTCCTTCATGCAAGGCTTCGTTCGGAAGCCTCAAGACGGAAGCAGGGCTAAAGGCGCCCGGGGTTCTGAGGTTTGAGTGTTTGGGGCTTGGTTCATGCCAGCAATAATGACCGTAGCTATGACAATAGTATTTGTACAGCTCTAATGGTATAGTAACTTGTGTCAGGATCCCCTCATATACCCTGAAAACTACGTAGTCTAGGACATCAGAGAACAGCTCATGCTCTTAAGAATCCTCCATCATTCCTATTTTTCGTCGCACAGCAATTTCGGCATTTACATCCAACTCAAAGCTTTAAAGTGTACACACACACACACAGATCAACACAAAGCAAGGGGATGAGCTGCTACGACGTGGAATGGCTAAAATCCACGCACATGGTCGTATGCAGTGATCAAGTTTTCGTAGGTTGGAGGTTTTATTAGACAGGAAGATACAGGAAGCAAGCAAGCAAACAAGCAAGCATGTACATGTGTATATATGTATATACAAATGTGCGTGTGTCTGCAGATGTTCGTATATACGTATATACTCATGGATTATGTGCCTTCAGGCTAATGAGGCACGTGGTTTAATCTTACCCCCACAAAAAAAACACACACACAATAGGGGGCTCCAAAAAATCAACAATTAGACGTCCTCAAGAAGGCTCCCCCGGTACTGAGGGCCCCGGGAGGCCTTGGGGATTAGTTTATGGGATGGCCTGGATTCGGTGCAACATTTTTGAGGCACCAAGACCTGAACACATTATTCAAGGTCTTCCCAACAGTGGAACAAGCGGCGGCCAGAACAAATTAATCAAGGTCTCTTGGCTTCAGCCAGCGCAACATGATTTTAGAAGAGTTCCGGATTGTTGAAGCTAGCCGAGAATTATCCTCCCCTGTCAGGACCCTGCGGACATGATATTGAAGAAAGAGGCCCGAGGTAAACCCGTAAGCCCTTTCGGCATTCTAACCCCCAAATATTTCTAGGATCTCATAGCGAGCCCCGGTTGGGAAACTGTGATTTCGAGCTTGAAGTTCATGATGGTTCCCGATGCTGAGGTTTTGCAATTATGGGGTTCAAGGCTCCTCAGAGTTGTGACCCACAAATGGCAAGTATAGCTGGGGTCTTAGGAATCAGGACCCGACATGTAGTAAGGCAGCATTCTTGACACTTAACCTCATCGCTGTTTCTTTACTAAAATGCTGTTACTGCATGAACACACCTACCACCTATTTTCAGGAGCTGAATGATCTGCTGGCCACAACCAGCTACATAGGTGGCGGCGCCAGGGCCTCAAAGTGCAGCAGTACCAAGCGACAGGATGGAGATGTTTCGTGCTCAGTTCTTCTTAGTGCCGTCTGAGGGAAGGTTTATGTTCATATCTTTCCAAATCCTCATTTAGTTGGCGGGTTTGAGTCGAAGTGGTCGTCTCGCACGGGCACTTGTACTGATAGAGTCTACAGTCTAGTTAGATAGGGATGTATGAGTCTGCATGCGAATTTTAGGGTTTTGGGTTGAGGGTCTTGGCGGTTTGAAGGCTTAGAGTGTAAAGTTCGAGATGTTCAATGCAGGGTTGGAACCCTAAACCTTAAACTGTGTGATTAGGGCTCAAGGGCTTGGAATACGTCCCTACAACAGCTGCTTGGTGTCAATAAGCCCTGAACCCTAAGTGTGGGGCCCCCAGTTAGGTTCTATATTGAACCCTTAACTCAAAACGCTACTGTAATTTTACCCGAAGCTCTTAGCCCTTAAACCCTAACAACCCTACCCTCATTTGACATTAACCCTACACTCTAAACCCTAGATCTAAATCCTAAACCCTCAACCCTAAACCTCAACGTTAGTTTCCTTAAACGGTGGATCCTGGAGCCCTGGTCGGGAGCCCAACGCAGGATGGTTTGTCGAAATAGGGGGCATGAAAGTTTGGTGATATCGGCGGACTAGACGTAAAGTATGTGTGTGTATATATATATATGTGTGCTCACCCCCCCCTTAAAATGTTGTGTGAATAGAGATCAGTGCGTGTCATGGGGGGGGGGGGAGGTGACCATATATATATATATAGATATATGTGAGGTGTTGAGGTATGCAGGCATATAGGACATGTTTTTTGAAGTTGCGTTTAGGTGGTGTCGATGCTAGCCCAAGTCCAAGTTCCCCTCAATAACCCCTATAATTAGTGCTCCCCTATCTAATTCCCCTTGAATGAGTTTAGAGCCCCCGAACCTCGCCAGCCAAGCCTGGTCTTCTTGCATACGACGCCTACACTATGCCCTTGACCCGGCCATCGCACGTCTGAAATTCTCCCAGACGCAAACCTTAAACCCGTAAGCCAGACCGCTACCCCAGCAAGCACATTGGGAAAGGTATCAGCAACTCAAGACGACTTTGAGTGGCTGGCCAAGGCACTGCCGGGAAGGTAGACCCCTCACGAACCAACCCATGTGTCCTTCAACGGAATCCAGTGAGGGATCCTGACATTTGCGTTCGCTCGAGACATGTACACTAAGCTTCAGGGACTCATTGTGGGAGGATTGTATAGGATTGTGCTGGGGCGTATATGACCGTCTCGTGCTGGTACAGCAGGTGGGGACTATGAAGGTTGGTATGCAGTACGCACCCAATACTTCAGACAGAGTTTAGCTTTCAAAGTATTATGATAGAATTCAATCATATGTCTACATTCAAAGCGACGATGCTGTTTTGCTATTTCCTGAGGCGAGCTAATGTGAACTTCATCGCGAAAGCTGCAAGTAGAAACCTGAATATTTAAGAAGGGCATCCCTTCATAAGCCTTCCCTAAGTAGAGTACCTACGCTACCAACTTGGCAGTTCAGAAAACGCTCCTGGAAAATTTGACCAGCCTAGCCTAGACCATCAGATTGCAAAGTCTCCAAAGGACAGCAGGCGTCAGTCTGTGGTGTTTCATGAACATGGCGGCTCTGCATTGCTATTCTGCTATTATGATTGAATAGTAATATGATGATTATTGCGGTTGTTCTTATTGTGATTCGTACTATTCTCATTGTTATTATCCGAGGGATCTTTTTTTGGATAGGGTAGGACCATACTCTCTTGTGGTTGCGCTTCTTCATCATGAGCTGAAACAGATGAATTTTCGCTTCAACCTCATGGACCCATTCATGACACGGTATAGGGTTTAGGGTTGTTCATCTCCTTGTTCTCCCTGTAGTGGCTGTGCAGGAGCGGTTCTCTCACATTCCTTCTCCAGACATGTGACAGCCCACGCCACAATACAAGTCACAGGCTATGCTGGCTCAGCAAACTCGTTTCAAAAGTCTCTTGTTCTGAAACATCGAATTCTCATATATTCTCATATAATGTATTCGCGCTGTTATGCTTTCATCTCTCTGAGTCCTCCCCCTGGGGTTCTTGGGTAAGACCCCTACTGTCTTTCCAAGAGTCCCCAAAGATGCCCCCATCCAAGCAAACACATACAGAACTCTCCTGTTTTGGGAACTCCCAGGACCCGAATCCCTACGCCCTGCAAACTCCAAACCCGACCCCAAACCCTAAATCATAAACTTGAACCCCCCGAACCCTAGACCCTAAACCTTAAACCTCAGACCCTAAACTCTAAACCCGAAAACCCCTAAACCCTAAGCCCCAAACCCTAATCAAGGCGCCACACAACATTGACGGCGAGCAGTTTCCGCACGCCCGGAGCCGCTTTTCTCAGCTGTAAGATGTGGGATTACTTACTTGTTGTTGCTAGGGAATAAGGGAATATTCTGCCTATATTGTACCTAGATAATGTATTCCCTTGTTCCCTACCAGCAATGAGTAAGATTGGGGTTTGGAGTTTTGAATTTGGGGGGAGTTTCGAATTTGGGGTTTGGAGTTCGGCGTTTGGTACATATGACATAGATTTGGGTGGAGCTTGGTTTCGGGTTTAGGTACATGTTACTTGTTGAAGAATGTTCTAGAAGCCAAAGTCATAGTGACGGAGTGGGCCCCTAAACCCTAGACCCTAATAACAGATTTGCTTGAAAGGCCAGAAAGATGACTTCAGTGGCAGCAGTTTTGCAGAAAAGCGAGCATCAGGCCCTGATCTTTGCAAAAGTCCTTGAAGCCTAAGGCTGAAGGCCCCGAACCCTGACCCATTAAATCACAAATGCCTCAAATCATCAACCTCTTCAGCTAAAGTTGCAGAGTTTAGGGCCTATAGACTGAATTCCTATCTCTTAAGACTTGTCATCACAGTCATCTAACTATACCCCTGGAACCTTTACCAATAGACATCAATTATGACATATTTGCAGTTTCCATTTCATTGTCCATTCACTTTTCCATGTCACTGTCCATTATTTGGGAGTAGAAACCCCTCTACGGCACTATAAGCCACTTGAACCCCTTTAAAGACCCTAACCCCCGAACCCTATATAACACATAACTCTACATACCGCGGCATTAGATATCCTTATATGACCTTATAATTATCCCTTGAAGCCCTTGAAACACCCTAACCCCTAAACCCTATATAGCTGTTTATGCCCTTAAATATCCCCATATGACCCTATAAGACCCTGACCCCTATAAGCCCTACATAACTCTACATACCCCTAAATATCCATATACATATATATAACCCCAGAAACCCCTTCAAAGATCTTAAATGATTCTAGATGTCCCCAAATATCCCTATGTAACCCTAAAGAATCCCTTGAATCCCTTCAAAGACGCTTTTCCTAAACTGTATATTATTTCTACATGCCCCTAAGTATCCGTACATAACCCTAGAGCACCCCTAAAATCCCTCTTTAAAGACCCTAACCCCTAAACATCCCTATAGAGCCCGTGAAGTCCCTTTACAGGGAGCCTGCTCGGATTCCGAGGATGGCTGGTGCATGTGCGGGCCTTGAAGCAGAAATTCCCTTACAAGCAGTGGCCAAAGGGTGCCGGAAGCTTAGCATGCGGATTACGGCTTTGGGGTTTAGAAAGGATTTTAATGGTCTGCTTGGCTTATAAACGGTTTGTAGGGCTACCGCTTGCTTCGTAGGCTTAGGGGCTTCCAGGTCAAAGGGTCGTTGTACATGGAGTTTTGGGTTTGGGGCGGGTTTCTGGGAAAGATTTCGCTCGGTTTGTGCATTCCCTGCGGACGAAATCAGAATCTCGTCCTTTTCAGATATGGGGGGATTCCCAAGATCAGGGGTACCCTTTTGGGGTCCCTATAATAAGGACTGTAGTATTTTGGGGTCTATATTGGGATCCACTTATTTAGGCAAACTACCATATGGCGTTAGTAGCATAGTCATAGGAGCCTGAAGAGCATATTTCCAATTACTGCTCTCCTGACGTCGACACCCTAAGTATGGAAGCTGATGTCAAAGTGCATTGGCTTGCGTTTGACAATTTCACAGCCCGAATTAGCCTTTAGCGTTTCCCCTCCGTACCTTTCATGTACCTTTGACCTTTTCCATCATGTTGCAGTTCCTTCTTTACCTCTTGTTTAGCTTTCACCTTTCCCATAAGCTTGAATTACCTTTCCCTGTGTGCCTCTGTTTCCCTTCTTGATTATTCCCAAGAGCCCAGAAATACCAATTAGAACATCATAACCGCGGATGGCCATTGTACAAATCCAGATCGACCACGTGCTCATAAATCCTACACCCCCACTCAAAAACAGCCCAACCCTTGAACTTCAAATTCCAATGCAGCCCCAGACCCTGAGATCCCATAGTCCCAACAGTCTTATTCAGTAGCAAGAAGGCCGGCAAGGGAGGTGGATCCACCAACAAGGAGGCGGGCGAGAAGGGGAAGGACTGTTACAGACGTGGCGCTGTGAACTTCAGGGGTTCACTACTACCTCCAAAAGGATTACAGGGATTCTACAGCATAATGTAGGAGGAGTTGATGGAGTTTAGGGTTTGTAGGTTCCCCTACTAGCCCCCTCCCTTTCCTACCCCTTCAGTTCGCCCTTAATCAGGGTTATCTAAGGAGAACTAGGGCTATTCGGGCTAAGTAAGGTCAATGGTAGTATGGTGCGGTTGTTAGGAAAACCCATTTTGTCGATGGGTTAGTTTGGAGGGAATGGCGGGATGGGTTGTAGAGGCGACTATCAGGATTTAGGCTTCCATTTCCTACTCGAAATAGGCTGTAAAAGTAAGGGTAGATTCTGAAGAGAAAGCCTTATTAGCCGTAATAGTTTAGTATTCATTGTTCAGGTCTAGGGGTCTGGGGTTTTAGGACTGGGCGTACGGAGGATGCCTTTCTGAAATCTTTATGTATCCCCCGCATGTCTATTGGCCGCCCTTGTTTTGCAAAATCGTGCTGTGAGCTGCTGTCAGTATTGTGCTTTCAAGGGCACTTCGGGGATCAACATAGGAGTCCTTCGCATAATTCTTCTGTATTGATCCCCCCACTTCCACGAATCTATGGCCTTCTGGGTAGATGCCTGCGGCCTTCAGCTTTGGAATATCGCATGTACATGCCCGTTTGCAGGAGCATGGAAAGAGTGCTTTTGGTAAACCCTAAACCCCTAAACCCTTGGGCTTATTTGGGGCTCCCTATGGGCTGCTCTTGCAGGACCAAGCCAAGCTCGAGGGCTTGTTAGCAGGAGCCGAGATGGGCAAGGCGGTGCTTTTTGGGGGTGGGGGATCCATGTGGGCTATAGACTAAACTAAACTCCTTAAATGGGGATTATATATAGGCACGTACAATCGTGGTTACTTAGGGGGATACTCTAGGAGTTTCTAGTTCATGGGCTTAGTGGGGTCTGGGGTGAACGATGAACTTAGGGCTCAGGGTGTAGGATGCCGCGCTTGAGAGACAAGACTTGAGTGGAGGGCTCCAGGGTTCAGGATTCAGGGTTTCATGCAGCAGCCAGAAAATGCAAATGTGCATTCCCTCTTCCCCCTTGCTTGCTGACCATGGAGTTAATGTGATCCAAAAGTATGGCTGTGCCTTTTTGGGTGGGTTTCTGGGACTCCAACCCAAACAGAGCGCTCACTACAAGATCACGGTGTACAAATTGTTTGGATTTCAGAAATGCCAGGTATTTTTCACAAGGGACATACATTACAAAACACACTAAGTTTGCTTGACTGGCAGGATTTGAGATCTTTTCTGGCGTGCTTGCTGCGACGATAACTATAGGGTTCTCTGCAATTCAGCGGCGATGGTTGTTGAAGACTATCCATGTCACATGCGGTTACCGAGTCTACTGTTGCGTTGATTGGTCTTTTCCTTGCTCTTCCTTCTTAGGGAAGAAAATTACATACAGCATGTGTCAGTCTATGGGCACTGCCTCTTCAGATCTTCAGGTCGTACAGATGGAGATTTTGCACAAGCTTGACCCCCCCAAAACTGAATGCTGCTGCGCTCTATCTATCGGGTTTGATGGCACCGCGGTGGGAGTCTGAAGGGGCCTTCGAAGGAAGTTTTCATGCCGCACAGTACTTGCTTGAAGACAGGAACAATTTTGGCAACGTTCGGAAAAACAAAAGACATTTGGATCCTGAAAGGGTGAGTAGTTCATCTTTCTGATCGGCCTACCCTATAAACCGTAATTCCATAGCAGAATCCTGCACTCTAAGCCGTATTTCTGAACCCAACGCAGCCTTGCAACCCCGCTAAAGAGGATTTTTAGCACTAAGATCCCCCAACCTTAGTCCTGAGATACTACATCCTAAACCCCTGAGCCCTAAACCCTAAATCAACCCTAAACCCTAAACCCCCGAGCTGGCAGTGTGGGGGCAGGTTTGCACCCGATTTCCTCCCGAGCCCAGCGGTTACCTTCACATCGGCCATGCCAAGGTGCCTGCTGTCAGGTTTTGATCCCCAGATTTACGCAGGCTAGGGTTTAGGGTTTACGGTTTGTGGATTCCGGGGGTTGTAGTCATCGGGTGACTGCCAGGAAGCTGTTCAGCTTACTCGTCCATCTTCAGCTGAGTTTCCAAGCATGGCAGCTGACATGGAGCAACCCAAGCCAAGCCAAAAGCCAAGCAAGGGCCTGTTTGTCCAAGACCCTATGAAACTTATCTACCTGCTCTTGTCCGAGACGAATTCTGACCCAATAGACGGACCGCTAGCTTCCACGAGTTTGTGGGGCTTTCGAATGTAGTTGCCGTCAGTACGCAGAAGCCGCTGGTTTTTGGACTTTCCAGTCCAAGTGCGGTCATGTAAGAAATCCTTCGGTGAACTCTGTCTGTCCTAGGGCATATTTGGACTGGAATCCCTGAGCCAGTGATGGACATTTTTGCCGGGGGACCAGCAGGCTGCGATGCTCAACAACCACTATGCCCGGCACTACCAGGCGCAGTTTCTTTTCATTGTTGGTGGTGTGAGCAGCCAAGAACAAAACTTCTAGCAGCAAGCATGGGTAGGATAGAGGGAGTCCATCTAGTTTGAGTTTGCCTTGCGGGCCGGTAATTACAATTGCCGCGGCAGGAACAGAAGTGCGGTGTGTGCTCAAGTTGAAGTCCGCAACTGCAAGAATCGGTTGTTGTAGCAGTGTTTTGCGGCAAGCAGCTGGAAGGATTTCTATGTATCGCACAATGTGTCCCTGCATGTATATCCCGGTGCAGGGGAAGCTCATCGTGCGGTTTGACGACACGAACCCCAGCAAGGAGAAGATGGAGTTTGAGGAGAGCATGATCAAGGAGCCGAGCCAGATCGGGTATCAAATCAAGGCGTCTGTCAAATGCTACAGTTGGGGCCCCTTTAGTTATGTACCATACATGCAACTTTGATGTTGGAGGGTACTATGTACCCTGGATATTAAGAACCCCACGTGACGTTGCTATCCGCCTGGTTCTCATTCCGACTATGAACGTTGCGTTTTTTCGGGCGCATAATACCGCGATTAGCTTCAGATGCTGCTTCTGCACTATATCCCCTATATAACCCTATATAACCCTATATAACCCTGTAACGAAGTAGTTTCCATTTTATTTTCCGCCATCCCCTATATAACTCCTACATAACCCCTACATACAAATTGCAAACCAGGATTTGGCCACCCTGTGGGCGGCTTAGATCTTGTGCTTGTGCCTCGCAGTTGAAGGTTTGGCACATGGGCTTGAGGGCTCTGCAGAATACCGTCAGACGAGACTTACAGTCGCAGCAGTCTTATACGTATAACCTTTGTGTGGTGGTTGGACGTTCCTCTTCCCACAATGCCAGCGGTGGAGACGAAAGCTGGCTGCTGTTACCATGCTTGAATGCATCGTTTAGATCATTGTCTGTACTTTGAAAAGGTGCATATTGGTGGACATGGCAACAAGCCCGAATGGGGGTTTCCATCAACAAGGCTTTCTTGTTGAGAGTCGCTATAACAAGGTTCGTAGTACATTTTCTAGTGTACTTTATATTGGTGTACATCAGTGTTCTCCATCTTCTCACGCGAGGCAGATCAAACCTGACATGGTAAGCCACACCTCTGACTACTTCGAGCAGCTGCAGACTGCCATGGAGGAGATTGACCTCTCACCACTTGGTGTTCATTGGAAGGCTCTTTGAAAAAGTGAATATACCGAAAGATAAATGGGAAATGCGCATTTCGTGGGTTGCAGCTGGTTCCACATTCAGTGCTCAGATGGGTTCTAGCTGCCCCTGACATTGTACTGGGGCCGGTGCAACATTCGTGAAGAGGTTCCAACCGTGATTCCTTTCATGAACTTTCTCTTTGGCGCCCTCATCTTAAACATGATTGCATCTTGCCGCAGGAACTCATCAAAAAAGGCAAGGCCTACGTGGATGACACAGATGTGGACACTATGAGGCCTGTCAGTGTCCCTTGTGGGTCGGATGCTAGAGTGCTTCGGCTGTACAAGGCTCAGTTAGCTATTTAGAAGTTTAGGGTTTAGGGTGATCGTTGTGATGTAGCTATGCGATAGTGTTAGTTTCTTCATGCCCTTCCTCTTGCCCAATGGACAAAGGAGAAGCCTGAAGCCTGAAGCATTCCCAACATTCATCCCCTGTATTTAATCCTTATATAACTACAGTATAATATACACCCAAATTATTGCAAGCAATATCCTACAATCTGCATAATCCCCCAACCAGTTTCCATTTGACTTGTCCATGTTGTTTTGATAATTGCTTACCCTTGGCCACCGCTGAACTGGCCAGGAATGAGCGTGACAAGGGTGTCTGCAGCAAGTGCAGAGATCAGCGACGGCCCCAGTTGCTAGTTGGCTGACATAGGCCAAGTCCAACCAGAGCCTTTAGGACGGGTACCAAAGGTACCAAAAAGAACACCAGCATAAGCTTGTTGAGGGGATATCACTATATTCGCGGGGTTGAAAGTAGGCTTTGACCAATCCTCTTGGTGATCTTAACAGCAGCTATCCTGGGATCTCTTAGAGTGTAGTGAGCTGCCAAGCCTGTTGTGTACAGCTTCCATACAGACATGCTATAGAATCATGTGGGACTGTCTCAGAAGAATTCACAGTGCATTGTCCTGTAGAGGGTAAAATCACCCGGTGCTCGCTCATGTCCCCCGGATGCCTAACAGGGCGCAACTTTCGCAAATTGCAACTTGCTCATGTGTACAAAACAGAAGCCTGAATGATTACCCATGCTGTTCCTTCGTAGCCCTACTCAGCTAGAGCATAGCATACCCCCAATACCCTGTTCTTACGATTTTAGCTCATACATTATGCTCATAATGCATACTGCCATACGCTCAGGTCAGTGGATGAAAACCTCCGTCGCTTTAGTGAGATGCTGAAGGGCCGCAGCCTCAGTTTCGTCATGCTACGTATTTGGGGGTTGGGTGGGCATTTTATCAGGAGAGGAGACCAGTTTGGACAACAAGAGGCAACAGTAGTTCTTCAATGGTAGCCATTAGGTCACCATGATCATATGGGTAGGCAGTTCCCATAATTAGGAGGTGGCATAGTATCATTAACCCATATCCAATAACCAAAACGGGCCCGTAATCTTGAGAACAACCCTCATGCCGAGACTGTCATCAGAACCTACCTCAAGGCCATACGCTGAGCAGTGAAGGCTCTCGTGTGCGGCTTATGTCGGGCGAAGGGAGCCCAGCATGAAGAATGTCTTCACCAAACGCAGTATACTAGCGTTTTGCGAAAAGGGTGGGCCCTTAGGCGGGGCCCAAGGGAGGCCCAAGGGATATAAAGGGGCCTTGTTGAGGATCATGCCGGGCTAGCCATGCTAAACTCACGTATGCGCATGTAATTTCCTTTGTCATGAAAGCATCATTAGAGTCAATGCAACGTCAGTGACCGACTTCCCTTGCCATTGGTATCATAATCCCAGATGCTAGCCGTCAAAAAATGTTCTCACAGAAAGGGTGCTCCAAAAGGGAGCATAATGTTGACATCCATCCAGATTAGATTGAGCACTTGTTGTGCAAGTTGTGCTGGAGGCTCTGAGGAAGGCCTGAAGATGTGCGTCCGAGGGAAGATGGTGCGTTGCGGCCTGCTTGAGAAATCTGTGGAGAAGACACCCTAACTACCTTAACGGCCTAGGTTCAGGGTTTAGGTTCGGGGTTTAGGTTCGGGGTTCAAGTCTTGGGGGTAAGGTGTAGGGTTTAAGGTATCACTGTGCCACGTTGTCTCCTTCATGGTGGTGTGTGTAGCACCGGTGGATGTAAGTGGTGTGTGCCCGCGAAGACAGCTACAGGAAGGAGCCCCAACTGAGTAGGCCCACAGAGAGGGAGAGAGCGCGTCTACAACGCATAAGTCATACACTGGACGCGAGTTGGAGAGCCTGAACACACGAAACCCCAAACCCTGCAACGCTGTGGGATTTAGAGCCCTGACTTGAAAGTTTGGATTATGTCCGCTCTCTGCATGTTTTGCTTCTTGCTTGTCTTGGCCTAATGCAAGAACTTTTGCTGCTGTCATGATTGCTACAACACCTAACACGAGGTGACCTTATGCTCATAAAGAGCACATGTAATCCTCTCTTCTGCAGCCAGGACATGCAGTGTGCCAACAAGTGCCTGCGCGACCCTGTCTTCTACCGGTGCAAGACAGACACGCCGAGGTCTTGGACACACTCTGTGAAAGTGAAAGCTATCCTACCCTACATTACCCTTATATAGCCGTGTAGAACCCCATACAATCCCTACGTGATCCCTATTATATAGACCCTGTATAACTCCAATTATCCTGCTTGTGCCATGCCAGTGGGCAACACTCGCAGCCGTCTGAACGGAACGGGATTAAGTACGGAAGGCCTGCACATGATTTGCAGCAGGCCCTCATGGCAGAATTACTGTCATGTAGATGATGCAAGCACTGATGCTCGGTCGCTCTCCGAATTTCCTGAGGCCCCATCACAAGCATGGATTCAAGTACAAGGCGCCGTTTCGCAACCATCAGAGTGTTTTGCCAGCTTCTGTTTTGAGACTTCTGCTTTCTCTCTCTCTCTCTCTCTCTCATTCAGTCTCAGGGCACATCATGAATCTGCCCGAAAACTAGGAGTTCCTGTCAAACTGATTGCAGGCCTACCCCACGTATGACTTCGCTTGCCCAGTGGTCGATGCGTTGGAGGCCTCAGCTGTCCTAAGGTCAGCATCCCAAAGAGAGAGAGGACCGTGAAGGGAACAGGTCCTCATGTCTGGCATGTTTCTAGTTGCTGCCCTGGGCTAACTTCGCGACAGACTGTAAGCTTCTTCCAAGACTGCCCGCTGTAGTTCATGAGACCCTCTCATGCCGTAGCATGTCCGTTTCATCGGTGGGACGCCATAAGAATCACGGCGCAAGCTTAGCAATTTTCGCAACAGATGTTGGTCCTCTGCTGCAGGGTGTGACCCATGCTCTCCGAACCATTGAGTACAAGGATCGTGCGCCCATGTACGAGCGTGGCCCCCAGACCTGAGGAAGCGCAAGAGGAAGCAACAACATCAATACGAGGAAGAGGAAGATGAAGGGTAGGAAGTACAAGGAGAAGGAAGGCGGGCATCATCTTAGCTACCTGTTCTGAAGCTTGTACGTTTTTGAGCTTCAGTTTTCTAGCCAGGTGCAGCTCAGCTCTAACATGTAAGCTTGCCTATCCATAATACACCCTATGTCCTATGCCGAGAGACAGGGGGGATGTGAGGCTTAGGCCGACAAGGTCTGAAAAGTCGGCCCTCCACATGTTTTCTCACTGCTAAATTGGAGACCATCATTGCCCAATTTCCCATCACTTTTTAACGGAAACAGGTCGATAGCGTATTTCTTTGTAAACATCAGTGTCCTAAAATGCAAGAAGACTCTCTTCAACGCCCTTAACGAAACATGCGACACGATCTTGCAGTCCCGCCGTCTGAAAGGTCACTTCCTGGTTGATTAGTGGCATTTCCTGGTTCAACCACCAAACACACTTCCCCGAACCCTGAACTCTGAACCCTAAACCTTAAAACCTAAATGGTAGTTTCCATTTTCTTTTCCATTATCCCAATATATTCCCTATATAACCCCCATATTACCCCTATATAACCCAAGTATACAGTATGCCCTAAACAAACACCCCTAAACCCTGAACTCTGAACCCTCAACCCTAGACCTGCAACAAACACCCCTCAGTTGGGTCTTGGAAGCCACCGGCTCCCGGAAAGTGGAGATGGTGGAGTTCGTGGAGAGCTGAGCCTGCGGTTCAATGTTTGTAACTCCCCTTTAAGTAGATTCAATATGGCATCGGGTATATTAGAATAGGATCCCCATATTGGTGGTTGTCAAAATTATGCTGCCTCTTTGGATCCCTATTATAGCACAGCACCTAATAGTAAGGGTACCCAAAAAGGGATCATAATATTGACCGCCACCCATATACCCCATATTCTATCTACTTGAAGGTGGACTACAGCTGTCCGTCAGGTGATGAGTATCAGAATCCATTGGGGTTATATTGGGGTAGAATTGTAGTTATAACGGGGTAATATTGGGGTTGTAGTGAGGTAATATTGGGGTGTTTGAACTGGGAGCTTTGAGTTTTTAAGTTGAGCTTAGTTGATGGGGTTTGAAAGACTTCAGCTGGCGGCAATCTGCACTGAACCTGTGGTTTCTTTCTGTTGGCACAGAAGGTGCTGCTTGAGCCCTGCCTAAACTTGTTCGAAGTCGGATCCGGTCAACGATGCCTGTCATCCAACTTCATGATATGGTAGTTTCCCAAAATAAGGGGACCCCAATATAGACCCCAATATACTATAATCCCTAGTATTGGGACCCCCAAAATGGTACCCCTAATTTTGAGAAACCCCCATATCTCTGCGGCCTAGACCTGAAGCGCAGGCTTGAACCTGAAATCCGTCATCCTAGGGTTTAGGGTTTAGGGTTTCCCATAATTAGGGGTACCTACTATAAAGGAGAATCAAATGGAAAAGAAAATGGAAAATGAAATGGAAACATTAGACCCATGCACCCCAGATCTTGTCTCTGACCATGAGGCGAAAACACAATTTTCCTACACCATCCTATCCAAGCGGAAGCTTGCGTGGTTCGTGGACAACGGCTATGCCACGGCCCTGGGTTGTTTTGCTCAAGGTTTTCTACATAAGGCTTAGCGCCAAGGCGTACTACCTGATACTTGGCGGCGGGGATTGAGGGTGTGGACCTCTGCCTAAACATCACGTTTGTCAAGCATTAGTCTATTTCCCGCTTCCTTCCGAGCATCAAAAATGTGAGTGCCTCATGAACCCCTCCACCGCATAACTTCTAACAGAAGCATTGGTATTGGCTGCACTTACCCCAGCAACGTCTCATCGATCTCTTGAAAAGTAGCCTTCTGAGCATCCTGTGAAAGGCCATATTTCTGCCTCGGCTACCCCGCCATGTGGCGAGGCTCATGAGCATGCGCTGCACCTACCCCGTGGCAAAATTCCATCGAAAGGCAGCGTCATCAGCAGCAGCTTGCACCACCTCGTGCTAATATCCCGTCGCCAGCCAGCATCCTGCACCTATCGGACCTATCCCGTGGCAATGTCCCATCGAAAGCCAGCATAGCTGCACCTGCCCGGTGGCAACATCCCGTCGAAAGCCAGCAGCATGAGCATCAGCCCCACCCAAACCGGTGGCAGCATTCCACCGAAGGCCAGCATCATGAGCATCAGCTGCCCCCACCCTATGTTGACACCACGTCAATATGATCCTTAGCCCCCTCTTTCAGACAATACGCTTTAAGTAAGCATAAGTCAAGAGTCGAAGTTAAGAAACACGGTACGTCAACGTGCCGTGTTCGGCGCAATTGTTTGCGGGTTGCTTTCTGGGAGTGGAGTTGAGGACACAGTAGTTGTGAAGGTATGGTTTCAGGCGGGCTTGAAAGGTGAGATGTAACCCTCAAGACCTTGACCTTGGCCTTGGGACTCAAGGAATCAAATTCGGCATTTATTTTTGTGCATGGCTGAATTAGCTTGCCTACCCGCGCAGATTGGTAGCGCACCCTCAATGCCGCAATTTGTAGCACTTGTCACGCCACTGTAGCACGACCAGCGAAGTATACGGTACGCAAGTCTTGTTGTAGTCATGTAAGGGTTTGTTAAGGTCCGTTCAGGAGGCAAGTCTTGACTTGGTCAGCGCTTAAATCCAACAAGCAGTAGTTATGCAGCATCTCAATGGTCGGCTAGATTCCTGGACGGAATCAAGCAAAAAAATGACCCTATGGCTGTAGGAACCAAATGGCCCTTTGACTAATATCATTATTCTACCGTTGCCAAAATTATTTGAGGCCCTATCTGGTACCCAAGTCTCAGCCAGCTGTGCCTCGTCCCAGGTCGATGGGTGGGATGATCCTCGCTTCCCCACCGTTGGCATCCCAGCTTTGCCAAGATACTTTCCGGCTGATATGCAAGGCCCCCGCATCCTTCCAACATGAAGTCTTCATTTCTACCCAGACATGCATGCTTTATGCCCGCTGGAAAATAGCTCAACTCGAGGAATTGTGGAACTCGAGTTGCCAATCTTGTCCGCATCCCTCCCTGGGCCTGGCAGCTGAAGTATGACTGGTTTCTCAACGCCTGTTGTTTCTCAAAACCGGGACCTCCAAGATGTAGGATGCTTCAGGACGCTGCTCTGCGGGAACGGAGTTTGAGCCGAACTTGAAGCCGTAAACCCTAGTAACGCCAGCCCACCAAACATGAAAATTAGCACGAGGTCCCTGTATAGCTGTGTGTATATATAGTATATATTTAAACCAAAAAGATTGTAGAACCACTGTGGGCCCGAAGTATATACTATACCCTAACCTCGAAGCGGAATGCAATATATACTCGACCCCGAGCAGATTCATGGGAACCCCCTGGCGGCCCTAAGCATATACCCTACCCGAAACCCCAAACCCTAGACCTAAACTAAAGAATTACATCGACCCTTTCTTTGATGGGAAAGGTGCAGGGCGTCATGCGCCGCGGGATGACGGTGGAAGCCCTCCAGGACTTTGTGCTGACCCAGGGCATGTCCAAGGCGCAGAGCTTGGATTTTGGATTGGTTTAGGATTTAGGGTTTAGGGTGTAGGGTTGGGAGTCCTTGTGAAAGGAGGCTATTTGGGTTCCACAGGCTCTACAGGTATAGAGGGATTTATCGGGATTGGGGGCTTCCGAGGGGTTTCGAGGATTAGGGGTCCCTTTTGGCTGGTATCTGGTCTATCTAAATGGCTCCACCTGCTTATACAAAATCACTGAAGAATTAGTATGGCTGTGGGCTTAAAGCTCCGGCTATAGGGGTTGACGAAGGATGATGTGCTGTTGTTGATCTTGGAGTTTCAGCCGCGCTATATCCCAACAAGTAGTAATTTAGCGCTGCAGTTTGCCAACAAATCTTGCATCCATAGCTTGCCCTGCGTTTAGGGTTTTACCCTAAACCCTGTGGCCCCTAGGATCCTCAACCGCAAACCTTGGCTCCAGACCCTCGCTGGAGCATTTGCAGAAGTTGAAGCAAGTGCAAAATGTATCCACTATAGTACTGTCCTATAGTATTATGCTGTAGATTATGGCACTTGATATGAGAGCCCCTGTTTTGAGATCATGTTAGAAGTCTAGGTGGACCTACTATTGTATTTTGGGGCCATATAGGGAGAATGGAGAAGAACAAGGAAACTATTATATTGGGGTTATATACGGAGAGGAAAATGGAGACTACTATAATGGCGTTATATAGGGAGAACCCTAAACCCTAAACCCTAAACAAAACTGCCTTGAAGACATGGCAGCGCAACCATAAACCGCAAACCCTAAATCCTAAACCCTAGATCCTAAACCCTAAACCCCTGCAGGCCACTAACATGATGGAATGGGACAAGATTTGGGCGATCAATAAGCAGAAGCCAGGAGCCGAGAAAAAGCTGATGGTTATGTAGGGATTATCTAGGGTTATATAGGGATGATATAGGTTATGTAGGGATTATATAGGGTTATATAGGGATTATATAGGTTATGTAGGGATTATATAGGGTTATATGGGGATTATATAAGTTATGTAGGGATTATATAGGGTTATATAGGGATTATATAGGGATAATGGAAAGGAACATGGAAACTACTATTTAGGGTTTAGGGTTTAGGGCTTAGTGTAGATGCGTAGTTACATGATGCACCTGAGCAGCTGCGTATTGTAGGGGCCTAAATAATTACCAAGAGTATAGATCCATTTTCCTTGTATAGTTATAGTATATGGTACCTCAAATGGGCCTCAATGATATAGGTAATTATTTAGGCCCCTGTAGTAGCACAAGCTTCTCCCTTTTTCAAGCTAGTCAACAGGTTTTTGCATGTTTTGAGTATTTGATAATTCTTTAAGCCCAAAATACAGAAGCTGATCAACTCACATGGTTGTCCCCGTGTGACGTTCTTCCAGTGCAACGAATAGAAGAAGACATTCACTCTCATCTAAAGTGTCTCATATGTTAGACATGCTGGGTGTCAGTTGCCGTTTCGTGTGCTGCTGGGTGTCTGCCATACTATGCACCTAGGGTCTAACTGCGCCACAACCCTACAGATGTTTAATCAGTCCTTTGAAGTTGCGATTTCAGTTTTGAAGAGCTAGCCAATGGGCTCGAACAACTACCCCGAAATTGTGCTTTAGTTAGTCAGTTTCAGACATATACAGGCAGATAGATGGAGATACATACATGCATGCATGCATATGTACGTACATACATACATACATACATACATACATGCATACATACATACATACATACATACATACACCTAAATAGACATATAATTGTCAGGTTTCGCATTTCGTCATTATAAATCAGTATTTTTTTTGAAAATATCTTTTCAACCATCCTGAAACCTATAAGATGGAAAACAAATAGAATTCAGATTCGGTAGTCGGCACACAGCCTTAAAGATCTGGAAAGACACGGAAAATGTTGTTTCCATCCATCATACTGGAGGAGTGTCACACCTAGGAGCCCCCGAAGACCTATTGCAGCTTGCTGCTAAACAAGCGTGGTTACTAAGGATCGACCCCGTTGTGCCTCGCTACCCCGCCGTTGCGGACGATGCTGTGGGGCTCCCAGCAGCCACTGTGGCTTGGGCATTGAGGACTCAGCTTGGTGAATTCTTCTTATGGCAGGGATATCCTGAAACCACCGAGTAACCAAAACGGATCCGTTGCGCTGCCAAGCTACTACCTGGACCTCACAAGACGTAATATAAAGCCCCAAAGCCGCTAAAATAATCAGAACGCTAATATTTGACATACTTCGGCTTACTGGTTCTTCGCACCGAAAAACGGAAAATACCATATGGCGCCTATATAGGGATTATATTCGCTTATTCCCTGCTAGGGACCAGTAAGTATGGGGGTCCAGGTAGGGACTCACTTGTGATCTCTGGGGTCTTGGGACCCTAAACCCTAAAGAGTAGTTTCCATTTTCTTGTCCATTCTCCCAATATATCCCTGTATAACCCCCCCAAAGGTGCACTAAAACCCTAAACCCTAAATCGCCTGGTCTTGGATCGTGGCTCAGCGCCCCGCTTGACAAGCTTATAGGGATCATTGGAGACATTCCCATGTACAGCCATGCATCTGGTTTCCCTTCTTCAGGGTTTACGGCTTAGGTATGGGCTCCCTACCACAACCCCAGAAGGCTACACTAAGGTTCCCCCCTGAATTAAGGCTAAATTCCCATGCAATCTTCCTTCCAAGCTTGGCTTCATAAGCATCCTTATCACCCCTATATTCCTTGCCAGAGTTCCAGCTATATATCCCCATCACGAACTTAGTTGCCTCCGAGCACGAAAGCCCTCAGCCCCGTTAACAACAAGGTCCTCGGAAGGTCAGGGGGACTTGGTACTTATAACCCGTATAAGCCATATAGTAACCCATTTATCCCCACGATCAGCCGAGTAACCAAGTCCCCCTGACCCTCCAAGTACAAAAGCCCTCAGGCCCCTTCTAGAACATGGTACTTTCCATAAATAGGGGTACCCCCATGCAGAACCCTAAACCCCTAAACCCCAAAACAGAACCTTATCCCCTAAACCCCCATACAGAACCCTAAACCCTAGTATGGTCAGGCGTGGCTGAAGTTGGATGGTCCCGCCGAGCCCACCTCCAAGATGGAGAAGCCCTGACCTGAGCACTACTTGTTCCATTTAGGGTTTAGGGTTTAGGGTTGAGGTTTAGAGTTTAGGGTTTAGGGTTGAGGTGTAGGGTTTAGGGTTCTGCATTTAGGTGGATATGGGGGGTTTCCCAAGATGATGGGTACCTTTTTTGGAGTCCCTGCAGTAAGGACAATAATAGGAGATTGGGGTCTGAATTGTGATGAGAGTATATATTCAGTACTGACCCCCCTCAGTAACAG